TCTCGGCTGAAAGGTGCAAAAAAGTCTTGTTGGTCAAACCTGCCAACCGTCTTTGCCCCCCAGTTGGGCAAGGAGTCTAAAATTTTTTTTAAAAAGAGTTGGTCAAACCTGCCAACCCTCTTTGCCCCCTATTGGGCACAAATTTATTAGAAAAAGTTGGTCAAACCTACAAATCCACTTTGCCCCCAATTGGGCAAAGATTTTTACGCAGTCAGTCTTGTCGACCGTATTAACTTTTGTTGAGGGTGTTTTGTCCAACATCGCTGTTTGTATCGAACTCTGCCTTGGTGCGCATCCTATCTTCCTCTACCAAGATGTGTTTGTGTACTCTCTCCATCAGGTCTTCCATAGTAAGAAGCAACGTCATTGTCATTGAATCTCTTAATTTATTGTCAGGTGGCAAACCTTGTTTGTACTGTGCGATAGCTAGGTTTGTAGGGCAATCTCCAATCTGATTAAAAGTCTCCCAATATCGGTTATTGTAGGACCTCAATGTTTCTTTCTCGCCCATGTCTATGGAGCAAAGCTGGCCAATCTCCACTGGCGTCTTGGTGTTTGTTTTGAATCTGGTCACAAATGCCTCCGCTAGTTGTGCCCATGAAGCTATGCTGCCTTCTAACAACCTTTCAAACCATGTTAAACCCAGATTGCCAAGGCTAGAAGGAAACAGAATACACATTAGAACCTCGTTTCGCCGATAGACAGCCATAACCTAGAGAAAATGCATGTAAGGGTCTGACTTCCACTCATAAGTAGTGAATTTGGATTGGTGGAAGCTTGAGGGTAATGGTGCGTTCTCCATCGCCGAAATGAACGCCGAGCTCTACAACCTTGCTAACGCTTTGTCTGTCTGTTCGTAGGCAAGACGTGGTACCGGCATTCCAACCTCGACACTTCCATGTGTCTTAGGAGCCAACCGTTGTAGCACAGAGACTTTGCGGGGGTCGTGAGCCTGAGTGTCTTCTTTCCTTCGAGTCCTTTCCTCTAGCACTATACTTAGGTCCGCCGACCTAGGCAACTCCGTGTGCCTAGATATCGTACGGTGCGAGTATGAGGGCCGATAACTGCTTCTCTCCGTACATGACCTTTTATTCCTCATTCTCTCAGACTTGGAGTAACGAGTCTTAGAGGTTCTTGACCGCGTGTCGCCTGTATTGAGGTTTCTGCTTTCCATATGAGACGATATGACTTGCATGTCACGATCTTCTAAGTGGCGAGAGTGCGCTCTATCTTTGCCCACCTCTTCTTCTGTCACCCTTTTGCCCTTTATCTGGCGGTTCATAGTCTCCATGTCAGCCACCATTCTTCTTATTACCTCGTCTTGCTCCCTTACGCAATCGTCCAGAACCTAGGGATCCATCCTCCGCCTCTATCTATCAAGGCTTTGAGAGCAGCATGGACTCGAGCGTCGTCTTTCTCGTGTGTCTCTCTGTGGGTTCCGTCGCTGGGGATCCAATTCTGCCATGGGCGGAACATAAGGCAAGCCCTCGTGCCTCCCTCCTCCTTCCAGGGTCTGCCCATTAATAGCGGAATGTGGCAAGTCTTCGTTATGTGCCATTGACATTGATTGAAGGAACATTTAATCAAAAGGTTTGTTCTCTGTTGTATTCCCACAGACGGTGCCAATTGTACAAGCACAGAAATAATCTTCTCGTATAATCTTGTTGATCAAGTTTGCACTCCTCCAAACGTCGTCGTTTTGCCACCTGAAAATACAAACGTGAGCTAGCCGGCAGGTGTGTACCGGAAACCTCTCAAACGCCTAAGTCAGCAAATAAACACAAAAGCTCTGCGTATTCTAGAGTAAGAATTAGGATACCTATCCATAAATCCTATCATGAGCTTTTATAGATTCTGCCTAGTACGATCCTAGTAGGATTCCAACTCTCTTTATAAGAGTCCTCCTAGGAATCACACTCCAGTGAAGAGTGTCTATCTTGATAACACTCTACTCACTACCAACCAAGTGAGATGGTTTGCACAATCCCAGTAGGACTCCAACTCTCCTTAACAGAGTCCTTCTAGGAGTCTCATGCCCAAGGATAATGTTTATCCTTAGAACACCTTTATCACTGCAAGCCAAATGAGATGGCCACTCCCTTATGCTCGGATATACATTCCTGACTGAGCTGCCTTATCTTGGTTCCCTATTGTTCGGGCCGTGTAATCGGACGCCAATTTACCGAATTGCACCATGTCGAGCTATACATAGCTTGGCCCTCTCCATTGATAACATCTCGGTCCGATAAAAGATTACCTTCAGATAGCTAGGTCTAGCCCCTAACAATCCATCTCTGACCGACCTAGTGTCTTCTTAGCCCAAGACCGAACTACATCAGCTCTTATATCAGCCCATTGTGCGGCCTAACTTTCAAATAAGACTTTTCATATCTCGGTCCAATTTGTTCACAAATTACCCTCTCACTTCTCTAATTATTAATCAGTCATATCACTTATAAAGTTTAAAAAATGAATTTACAGAGTGAGATAATATATTATTTTTTTAAGATTTACACTGAATAATAATTCCCCTATATTTAATGACTTGCTGGCCTCTTGATATTGTGTGCCAGTAGAGAAACTTCGTAACCTTGTTCCCACAATAATTGTTCGGTGATCATTTTTCTTATCATAATTATTTTATGTATTATGATAAATTAGGCATGCTGAGCTGTTTGGTGTAATTTACATAAGTTATTTATTATTTTATTTTATTTAAAAAAAAATTTCAACCTATTTGATGCAACTACTAGTTTCAGGTTATTAAGCAAAATTAACTTAAATAAACTAAAAAAGATGATTATTTGAAAATTGATGAATGAGTGTTTATTTATTTATTTATTTTGATTATCTATTTTTTAACTTACAGTAAAATGAACTAAACATACCCATTAACCGTGTATGATCGATAAACATCCCGTGATTAGAGTGATGAATTTTATTTGACTGGTTAATGATCACTTGTTGAGATGGGGCATTTGGTCTAGTGAGAAATTCAGAGCTTCAACATTAGCCAATGAAATGATTACGGTCTTTCGTTAGAATTTAACTTACTAACCTAACATCTGATCGTATGACCAAAAAAAAAAAAAATCGCTTATTAGGTGTTTGTTAGGAATTAAATAACGTTAAAAATATTAAAATTTTTATACCCATATTTTTATTTAATTTCACATATTTCACACTTTTTATTATGAAATAAAATATTAAAATACACTTTTTGCACATATATAGTAACATTAATGGATGGTGATTAATTTTTTTAAAATAAAGGATAAATTACATTCATGACTTGATTCAATTATGAATTTTAAAAAAATATAATAAATCTTGCAAGTTTGACATAATTATAATGACATTTTCCTTTCTAGTAAAGCTAAAGAGATCAAAATTAATACAGATTATGTGAAGACACAAGCTTAAACAAGGTAAACAATATATTTCAGTATCAAAAAAGAATATATCATCATTTTTACATTCATATTACTAACAAATTATTGATAAAAGGGAAACAAAATATTATGTGAATTAAAATTTTAAGAGAACTCAATGAAATTATACCAAACTTATAGACATCAATGTATTTTTTCCAATTTTTAAGGAATGAAAGATCCTACTATTTTAACTAGAGGTGGCAAATGGACATGTTCGGACAGGTTCGGGATGTCAAAACTAGTTGTGCAGTAAAATAACTCAACCCAAATCCGCTTATTTAATAAAAGGGTTTAAACAAATTAAGTTGAGTAGGGTACATGATGAACAAATCACTCCAGCTAACTCATTTACTTTGTTGAACTTTTTTTTTTTTTTTTAATTTCTTTTTTTAAGGATATTAGTGTAGTGGAGAAGATCACAATCCGGTTGGCACGTGATGGTGAAGGTTAAATGAGCAAGATGTTTTTTTTTTTGTTTTTAAAAAGAAAGGAAAATAGCAAGATTAGTTCGATATTACTGTCCAAACAATTTCTTGCAACAGAAGTAAACTAAATAACAACAATAGCGTATTCTAATAGTAAATGAACAAGAATTTAAAAAAGAAAGAAGAAAAAAGAAAAAAAGAAAAAAGGAAAAATAATAAGATTAGTTAGACGATTACTGTCCAAAACAATTTCTTGCATTAAAAGTAAACTAAATAATAGCAATAGCGTACTCTAATCAGTTTATTATGGGAGAAATTCAAGATGTAGATGTTGATCAATCAAATAATTATGAATAAACAAAAATTATTTGAACTCATCCAGGTGGACGGAACAAAAATTAGTGACATGTGAAAAAAAATAAGTTATTATCATCACTAGATAACTGTTTCCTTCAATGATTGCTTTTTCTTTTCTAATTTTTTGATTAATTAATTATTATTTTTTTATGCTGGGAAAGTATAAGATTGCTTTAATATTAAATGATGGTTAAATACCTTTTCCTCTCTCAAAAGTATGCAATTTATGTCATTTTAATTTCTAATAATTGATTTGTATTTAATTTCTCAACCTAACTTTTTTATGTGATAATCAGGGATAAATATAAAAATTCAAGTAAAAAATTACAGTTTTAATCTCTAAAACATGCAACCTAAGTTATTTTGATTCCTAACTATGCACCCATTTAAAGGCGCACTCCATAGCATCCATGAAAAAAAATAATAATAAAAATAAAAAATACGGCTCAATATACAATGGGCAAAGGGTAGATAGAATTTAAATTTTCAATATACAAAAAAGTGGTGAAGTTATTTTCACATTAGTAATACTATGTAACATGAAAAACCTTTCATGAAAATAATCATGAAAGTTTTGTGACCCTTGAATTACACTTAGAATAGAACACCACACACTAATCAAGGTAATCCAAAAATCACAAATCTTTCATGATCATTTTCATAATCCCTAACTTTTCTCTTTTCACATCTCCTAATGTGGACTCGAGTGGAGTCATTTTTTAAATGTAATTTATATTCACAATATTGAACAACTGTATATTTTATAGTATTTATTGTTACATTTGAAGCTTTTTAAGTAATGTCGCTCCATCCTCCCAGTGTTCCTCAATTGTTGTTTGTTCTCTCTCCCTCTATCTCTCATTAGACAAACTATGAATCAAAACCAAAGAATTGAAGTAGAAAGAAACCAGCAAGAACTGCAAACTTTGAACCAAAACGCAAGAATTCAACCAGAAAGAGACCTGGAAGAAGAAGGAGTGCAAACCATGAATCAAGAGGAAAAAGCTAAACTGGCAAAAAACCTAAAAAAAATGCAAACCATAATTGAGAAGCAGGATGAAAGAATCGAGAAACTCCAATCAACAGCTTTCCAACTAGCAAACTTTTACTTCATCTTCCAAGGAGTGATCTTCACAGTAGTCTCCAATGGCTCATCTGCTGTCAAATGCGACGACTGGTGGTTCCCCTTTCTCCTCTCTCTCATCGCCACCTCGCTCAACCTGTTTGCACTGCTCGTGATCGGAACAAAGTACAAAAGATCACTTGACCATCAAGAAGAAAATTGTCGACATTATCAAGAATACGAGCAGAGATTGCTACAACGAGGAAGTCGTCAACAGGCTGCACAAAACAGGCCGCAACAACAGGCTGCTACAGATCCATTTACAAAGAAAAAACGCTCGGTTTATCTCTTCTTGTGCATGAGTCTTTTCGTTGTCTTCTCTGTATTAACTCTCATTGGTTGCTGGTGGAATCGTTGTAAGGAAATGCATGACGTGAAGAATCTACGAGGCGGTAATGACGATAAATGTGTCAAGCTTTGTGATAGAGAAAGGTGCGTAAGAGTCTGCCCCGATTACTGATACTCATATATTATATATATCATCTTTTGTGGGATTCTGATGCTAATAATCAACTCTAATCTGCTAAACATATTTGCAATAATAAGATTGACATGAACATATATATATATATATTGTTTGAAATTTATATTTGCTTAAGAACTTAAAGTCGTCTGTAATACCATCTGTTGTGGGAATCTGATGCTGATGATAAACTCCAATCTGTTAAACATATTTGTAATAGTAAGGTTGAGTTGTACATATATATATATATATATTGTTTAAAATTTATATTTGCATAAAAATTTTAAGTCGTCTGCAAGTAAGTGATGTGTTTGTTTGTCCAATATTTATTGCAACTCGATCCTTTCTGCTTTGCCTTTTATCCAATATGAAACTCTACTTTCCCATACACTCCAACACTATAAGCACATGGAGTAAAATGATCTGTCCCTTGTGTGCAGTGTTAAATGTTCTTCACGCTTCTCTTTTATGGAGTTAGTTAGTGATGCTTTAATGTTAACTTGCATGGCAAGGTCTTTATTCATCTTTTCATGGATCTATATTTACATGTGTTTTCTATAAAAATTTCGTACTATCACCCTCAAAATACATAATTTCATCATAAATTAACATAACAAAAAATATTATAATCAAGCCACAACTTTTACAACATCAACCTCAAAATTGTGAATATTTTGTTATGCCAATTTGTGGTGAAGTTACGCATTTTGTGATTGATATTACGAAATTTTATGATAAAATTACACATTTTTGTCGTAAGATGCATATGATGTGCACTCCTTATATATATATATATATATATAAAAATCGCTTAACTGTTTAAGGTTCGTCTTTTTTTTCCGATTTTGTCCTTTTATTTAGAATAATTTATTAATAGTGACCTATATGTTGAGGGAATGTTTTTTCGTAATTACATAAACATTCTTAGTGAACTATGCAACAGGTTTTCCCGTAAGTACGCAAACATTCTTAGTCAATTATGAAACATAAATATTTTTTTTAAATAAATTACAAGTACATCCATAAGGTTTGTTTAAAATATGAATCGGTCCTCCTTTTATATATATATATATATATATATATAAGAACCGCTTAACTGTTTAAGGTTCGTCTTTTCTTTCCGATTTTGTCCTTTTATTTAGAATAATTTATTAATAGTGACATATATGTTGAGTGAATGTTTTTTCGTAATTACATAAACATTCTTAGTGAATTATGCAACAGGTTTTCCTGTAAGTACGCAAACATTCTTAGTCAATTATGAAACATAAATATTTTTTTTAAAATAAATTACAAATACATCCATAAGGTTTGTTTAAAATATGAATTGGTCTTATAATAGTAGAAATTACAACTATCGTATGTTATAAATTTTAAATTAACACAATATTAAGGGGAAAAAAAAACTATTCTCCTATGCAATAACAAATTATCAAAATTGTTTATTAAAAAATATTTCTCATATCATTAAAAACTGTTAATTGACTTAATGATTTATTTATTAACAAAATGGTTAACTTGAAAATATTTTTCATATTTTTAAAAATTGTTAATTAATTAATGATTTACTTATTAATAAAATTGGTCATTTGTTATGCAAGTATGATTTATGTATTAATAAAATTATTCATTTGTATATGTATATATATATGAGAGGGGAATTTATATGTAAATTGGGCCGAGTTAGGCAATTGTGGGCCTCAGTGCGAAAGGTTGAGTAAAAATGCCATAAAGTTACTCCGGTCCCAAAGAGGTTAGCTTGGTCACCATACTAAAACTAAAACTTGGTCACTTCAGTGCGAATCTTGAAATGGGCAGTAGAGTTGGGACAATTCGACATCAAGTTCCAGCCCAGAATCGCGATAAAGGCCCAAGCTTTGGCAGACTTTGTCGCAGAATTTACCCCAATAAGTCATCATATCTGCCCAGTCGACCTGACTGACACAACCGAACTGGGGACAAAAGTTGACGCCGGAATAGCGCAACCCCTGGAGCAGTATACTCAGTCAGACCCCATGGCAGACCAGAATAAAGAGAGTAAGGCAGAAGCAAACCATGCTACACCGAGCCAAGACTCACCAACAAAAAAAGACTTGGTACAATCAGATAGCGAGGGGCAGACAGCAAGCATGGACCTTGAAGAAAACACCAGCAACATTCTTAACCCCACGACATCATCTGACCCCTCCACTTGCTGGAAGTTGTTCGTTGGTGAGATGTGGAAGCTCTTTGTGGATGGAGCATCCAACCGGCATGGTGCAAGACTTGGCATAGTCCTCATCTCACCAGACAGCCTGGTTGCGGAGCAAGCAATCAACCTTGGCTTCCCAGCATCAAACAACGAAGCGGAGTATGAAGCACTTCTTGCAGGACTCAAATCAGCATTCTACATGAAGGCCACCGAATTAATGGTCTACAGCGACTCACAGCTGGTGGTAAACCAAATTTCTGACGACTATGAAGCAAAGGATGACAGGATGGCCAAGTACCAAGAATTGGTCAGAACAGAGATCAAGAAATTTGAAGTAGTAAGGATAAAACAGATTGGCAGGCAGCAAAACAGCAGAGCAGACGAACTAGCACACTTTGCGTCAATAGCAGATACATCCATCCCTCACCCACTACTAATTGACTACCTACCGAGACCAAGCATTGAAGACCCCGAAGTAGAAGAGGTATGTTGCGCCGAATTAGGCCCCTCATGGATGGATCCCATCATACTGTTCTTAAAAGACGGCATCTTACCAGAAGACAAGAAAGAAGCCAACAAAATTCGAGCAAAGTCGTAGCGATTCTGGCTCTCCCCATCTATGGCATTGTACAAAAAGTCATTCTCAGGACCTTATCTAAAATGTGTCCACCCCAGCAAAGTAGAAGCATTCTTGTTTAAAATACACGAAGGGGTGTGCGAAAGCTACCAAGGAGGAAAATCATTAGCATACAGAGCAATTTCGCAAGGATATTAGTGGCCATATATGCAAACAGACTCAGAGAAGTATGTGAAGAAGTGAGAGAAATGTCAGAAGTTCACACATCAAATACATCAGCCGGCCAAAGAACTCCTACCATTGTCCAGCCCATGGCCCTTTGCAATGTGGGGCTTGGACATAGTAGGACCACTTCCAACAGCGCCCGGAAACAGAAAGTTCTTTCTCGCAGCAACAAACTACTTCACAAAGTGGGTGGAAGCAGAAGCATTGGCATCAATCAAGGAAAAATATGTGAAGAAGTTCGTCTGGCAAAATATCATTACTCGATTCGGCATACCTAAAGCCCTAATATCAGACAACGGCACCCAGTTTGATGGCAGAATCTTTAGAGGCTTTTATGAAGAATACAAGATAGAATTCTACAATTCTACACCAGCATATCCTCAAGCAAATGGCCAAGCAGAAACATCAAACAAGGTTGTCTTGGATGGACTGAAGAAAAGGTCAGAGAAAGCAAAAGGCAAGTGGGCGGAGGAACTTCCTCATGTTTTATGGGCTTACCGCACCACACCTCGACGATCAAAAGAAGAAACACCATTCTCCTTAGCCTATGGCATGGAAGCAGTAATCCTACTGGAAGTTGGCCTTCCCACAATTAGAAGTGAAAATTTTGATCCAGAGTTGAATGGAGAAGCCATAGCATTGGAACTCGACCTCGCCGAAGAAAGAAGAGAAAGAGCACTGGTTCACATTGCCTCATACCAACAAGAGTTATCCAAGAAATACAACAAAACAGTGCATCTAAGGCAATTCGAGATCGGAGATTGGGTGCTGCGCAAAGTAATGGGAAACACCTTGGTACCAGGAGATGGCAAGTTAGGGCCTAATTGGGAAAGACCTTATAAAGTGGTCGGATTAGCTGGCAAAGGGACATACCACCTGGAAGATGAGGACGGCAAAGCCATTCCTAGGCCATGGAATACTACCAATCTCAAACTATTTTATTTTTAGCTTTTTTACAAGTATGTGTAATTTTTCTTTTTCTCAATAAAACAAAGTCGATTCTTTTCAGCATAGTTGTTTTTTATAAGAGATTGTATTAGTAAGTTAGGGACATCAAAAGCAAGGTTGGCTGGAAAAACCAACACCCCTCCCAAGCCCAAGATAAGGATCCAGGCTGTAGGACGTTTGGTCAGAACAACCAAACATTTTACTCTAGATTTGCTGGAAAAACCTATCTATAGGTTGGCTGGAAAAACCAACACCCCTCCTAAGCCCAGGATAAGGATCCAGACTGCAGGACGTTTGGTCGGAATAACCAAACATTTTACTCTAGGTTGGCTGGAAAAACCAATCTATAGGTTGGCTGGAAAAACCAACACCCCTCCTAAGCCCAGGCTAAAGATTCAGGCTGCAGGACGTTTGGTCGGAATAACTAAACATTTTATTCTAACTTGGCGGGAATAACCAATTTAGAGGTTGGCTGGATTAAACCAACTCCTAGTACTCTTTAGCCAAAGTAAGGACATCAGCTAAAGAGTGGTTGGCTGGATTAAACCAACTCTTAATACTCTTTAGCCGAAGTAAAGACATCGGCTAAAGAGTGGTTGGCTGGATTAAACCAACTCTTAGTACTCTTTAGCCGAAGTAAGGACATCGGCTAAAGAGTGGTTGGCTGGATTAAACTAACTCTTAATACTCTTTAGCCGAAGTAAGGACATCGGCTAAAGAGTGGTTGGCTGAACTAAACCAACTCTTAGTACTCTTTAGCCGAAGTAAGGACATCGGCTAAAAAGTGATTGGCTGGACTAAACCAACTCTTAGTACTCTTTAGCTGAAGTAAGGACATCGGCTAAAGAGTGGTTGGCTAGATTAAACCAACTCTTAATACTCTTTAGCCGAAGTAAGGACATCGGCTAAAGAGTGGTTGGCTAGACTAAACCAACTCTTAGTACTCTTTAGCCGAAGAAAAGGACATCGGCTAAAGAGTGGTTGACTGGATTAAACCAACTCTTAGTACTCTTTAGCCGAAGTATGGA